GGAAGAGGGGCTGTTTTTAGAGCAATTGGAATCCAGGGCATCGGTCAGAAGATCCTGCAGGCTGAAGAAGGTGAATCAGTTAGTGTGCTTCCTAACGCAGGGGAAAGCTGGACATCGCGTGACCTTACACACGAAGGAGTGCCCATCGGCTTACCGAGGTGGAAAGCCCAGCAGCTGTGGCTTCATCAGAACTTCGGCTCCACCTCTTTACGATTCTTTGCACTCTGCAATTCTCCATGTGCCGCTGGGCTTCGTGCCGTGGCTTATCGGTAGCGATCGGTTTCTTGCTTCTTTCGAATCCAGGAAAATGAGCGTCCTCTTGCCTATAACTAATTAACTAAGGTCCAAGCTAAACTGCGACTGGATCACCTGGGCCACGACCCTTGTGCCAGTGGAACACCAAGGCCCTGACTGCATTAGACTTTGGTTATTTGACCACTTGCTCTGGCAGGGGAGATGGGATAACTGTTATTGACTTAGCATCTAAGTGTTCGACCAATCAAAGCCCAGCCCAGAGGTGGGAGTGGAATTAAATTCCATAAAACAAAAACAAAAACAAAAACAAAACAAAAAACACCTGACTGTTAAATGATGAAGAGGGGAGGAACAGGGGAGACGTGGAAAGGAAAGCACAGTGTTCTTTATGGAGGAGCGCCTGGCGTTCCGACACCCAGGACAATGCTCTGGTCTCAGTGACGTGACCCCTCTCCAGAACAGGCGGGGCGACCTTAGTGGTTGTCACTAGGGAATTTCAGAAATCACACGGTATTTTGACAGAAGCTCATCTCCATCAGGTAGGAAGTTAAAGGCTTATATTCTAACAATGTGTGTACGAAAAAGAAGAGGGCTTTACTGTTGTAATCATTGCACGGACAGACATGTCAAATCTCCAAAAAAGAAGAGGCAAAGAATTCATATAACTATACAACTATACACATTATCTTTTTACTTCTCTCTCTCTCTCTTTCTCTCTCTCTCTCTCACACACACATCCCACACACACACAAGCCTATTAGTCTGTGTATATGAGTATATAGACAATGAAGAGAAGCTAATCGATACTATAAACAAAGTCCAGAGAGCTAATCTATGAAAAATAAATGATTCTGAAGAAAAAATAATAAATGAAACTGAAGCAAAAATCCAGACTTGAAGAGAGATCTAT